CCAACAAAGCATGACGAGCTGACAAAGCTCCAACAAAGCATGACGAGCTGACAAAGCTCCAACAAAGCATGACGAGCTGACAAAGCTCCAACAAAGCATGACGAGTTGACAAAGCTCCAATAGAGAATGATGAGCTGACAAAGCATGATGAGCTAACAAAGCTCCAACAGAGAATGACGAGCTAATAGAGCTCCAACAAAGAATGACGAGCTAACAAAGCTCCAACAGAGAATGATGAGCTGACAAAGCATGACGAGCTGACAAAGCTCCAACACCGCGTGACAAGTTCACAAAGCTCCAACAGAGCATGACGAGCTAACAAATCCAATAAAGCATGACGAGCTGACAAAGCTCCAATAAAGCAGGATGAGCTCATAGAGTTCCGATGAAGAATGACAAGCTGAAAGAGCTTTAATGAAGAACAACGAGCTCATAAAGCTCTAATGAAGAATAATGAGCTGAGAGAGCTCTAATGAAGAATGATGAGCTCATAGAGCTCCAATGAAGAGTGACGAGTTGACACAGCTCCAATAAAGAATGATGAGCTCACAGAGCCTCGATGAAGACTAATGAGCTCACAGAGCTCCAACAAAGAATGACAAACTCACAGAGCTTCAATGAAGAATGATGAGCTCACAAAGCTCCCACAAAGAATGATGAGCTCACAGAGCTCCGATGAAGAATGATGAGCTCATAGAGCTTCGATGAAGAGTGATGAGCTCATAAAGCTCCCACAAAGAATGACGAGCTCACAGAGCTCCGATAAAGAATGATGAGCTCACAAAGCTCTGATGAAGAATGATAAGCTGACAAAGCTCTGATAAAGAATGACGAGCTAAGAGAGCTCCGATGAAGAATGACGAGGTCATAGAGCTCCGATGAAGAGTGATGAGCTGACAAAGCTCCAACAAAGAATGCCGAGCTCATAGAGCTCCGATGAAAAATGATGAGCTCACAAAGCTCCAACAAAGAATGATGAGCTCATAGAGCTCCAATGAAGAATGATGAGCTCACAAAGCTTTGATAAAGAATGACGAGCTGAAAAAGCTCTAATGAAGAACGACGAGCTCATAGATCTCCGATGAAGAATGACAAGCTGAGAGAGCTCTGATGAAGAATGACGAGCTCATAGAGCTCTGATGAAGAGTGACGAGCTCACAAAGCTCCCACAAAGAATGACAAGCTCACAGAGCTCCAATGAAGAATGATGAGTTCACAAAGCTCTGATGAAGAATGATGAGCTGAGAGAGCTCTGATGAAGAATGATGAGCTCATAAAGCTCTGATGAAGAGTGACGAGCTCATAAAGCTCCAATAAAGAATGATGAGTTGATAGAGCTTTAACAAAGAATTACGAGCTCACACAACTCCAACAAAGAATTATGAGTTGACATAGCGCAAACAAAGATTTACGAGCTTGCAAAGCTCCAACAAAGAATGACGAGCTAACAGCATCCAATGAAGAACAACGAGTTGAGAAAGCTTAGATAAAGAATTACGAGCTGAGACCTTACATGAGTGGGCTCCCACAAAGAATTACAAGCTAAGACCCTACATGGGTAGGCTCTCACAGAATTACAAGCTAAAATCCTAAATGGCTTAGCTCCAAATAATCCTGAATACTCCGACCTGATAGGTCCAACAAAGAATTACAACCTCATAGAATGAGCTGAGACCTTACATGGGTAAACACTTATGAAGAATTATGAGTTGAGACCCAACATAAGCGAGCTTCAATAGAAAATTTGAGTTGAGATGCTGATGAATGGGTTCCAAAGAAATCGTGTTAGAGGCTTTAGTGAAATTGAGCAAAAACCATGTGTGGTGAGCTCAGAACTCCAACATAAAATGCTTAGACTAGATTTCAAGCAACACCCTTAAAGTTGGTGGGCTCCACTCACAAAGCTCAAAGCTCCTAAAAATGATCAAGTAAATTCCTTCTCCAGCTTTATTTATGAGTGGCTAGTCTCTTGCTCCATCATTTGCTCCTGAGTCAAGGCAAGAAGGAGTTAACATTGTTCATCCATTAGCTATTGGCTTTTCAACCCATTTGCTTTACAAGTGCTTGGGCCCATCAATTGTTAACTTCTCAGCTTTTTAGCTCATTTGTCTATGAACGCTCAATTCAATCATAGCTCTGTGAAGCACAACCCTCAAAGGGTTTGATTTCTATGTTGTGACCTAAGAGGCCAAGATTTTCATTTAAACATCCCAATGAGGGATCTCAAGGTAGACATCTCCAGCTGCCAAGTTGGCATTCAATCTATCAACTTTACAAGAGCTCATTTGGATCTTAGCTCTACAAAGCGTGATCTTCAAAGATTTGGATTCTACATTATGGCCCATGAGATTCCAAGTCATCATCCTCAGCTTCCTAGTTTTCCAGGTCATCATTCCTCAACTTCTTGGTTTTCCAGGTCGTCACTCCTCAGTTTCTTGGTTTTCCAAGTCGTCACTCCTCAGTTTCCTGGTTTTCCAAGTCATCACTCCTCAGCTTCCTGGTTTTCCAAGTCGTCACTCCTCAGTTTCTTGGTTTTCCAGATCGTCACTCCTTAGTTTCTTGTTTCCAGGTCGTCATGCTCAACTTCCTGGTCCCAAGTCATCATCCTCGGCTTCTTGGTTTTCCAAGTCGTCACTCCTCAGCTTCCTGGTTTTCCAGGTCGTCACTCCTCAGCTTCCTGGTTTTCCAAGTCGTCAATCCTCAGTTTCTTGGTTTTCCAGATCGTCACTCCTCAGTTTCTTGGTTCCAAGTCGTCATGCTTAACTTCTTGGTCCCAAGTCATCATCCTCAGCTTCCTGGTTTTCCAGGTCGTCACTCCTCAGTTTCCTAGTTTTCCAGGTCGTCACTCCTTAGCTCTTTAGTTCCAGGTTGTCACTTTGAGCTCTCTAGTTCCAAGTCGTCGCTCTCAGCTTCTTGGTTCCAGGTTGTCACTCTCAGCTTCCTAGTTCCAGGTCGTCAATCTGAGCTCCCTGGTTTCAGCTCATCACTCTCAGCTTACAGTTTGGAAATCTCAAATCAAGGTTTCCAAGCTAGATTCCTCAAGAATAAATTAGACCCCTCTACAACCTATAAAAGCAAGAAGCTAAACCCTTGTGATTTTTCAGCAAGCTTACAAATCACTAGAGGGGGAGTAATGTTGGGATAGTAATCTAACTAGCCCATAAACGAAATAAAGGCCCATAAGGCCCAAATACAAAGGAGCACATCCATGAGTCACAATGGAGCTCATATACATTCAAATGGATCCAAAGGGACTAATAGAAGTGCAACACGTGTAAAACACTTCCAAGGAATCTATAAATACTCCCACTCCTCTCAAAGGTAGGGGACTTTTCTAAAAGCTCTTCTCTCTCTATTATATTTCTCTCTCTAAAGAGAGCCCCAACTATAGAATATTGCTAATTTGGGCGTCGAAGTATCTACCCCAAGGGACAACCCTCGAGTGTGTTTTGCAGATCCCTATACTGGTCAACTTGTGTCAACTAAATCTTTTGAAGCCGCCCAAACAGAGATGATGGCGGCGAAGCAATCGGCGGGAAGAGCACGAAAATCCAGCGTCTCTGGATGGAATCGTTGACCCCTCGGACTAGTGCTCATTGTGACCGAAAATGTAGAATGCCAACGGGTGGATACTGGAGTTTAATAAGAAAGGGTATTTGAGAAACTGAAAACTGTTTTCCATAGCAGATGGTAAGTAGTTTTTCGTTTGTAAAATTATTTAAATATTTTTAATAAAATAATATAAAAATAAAATTAAAAATATTTAAATTATTTTATAAAACAAATTACATATCATCTGTATTGTAAAATAATTTTTATTTGAGGAAAGCTCAGCTGTTAAGTTTTTGTAATGCCAATTGTTAGAATTTTCTATTATAATCCTATGATATATTATAAACTCATAATATGATGTTATGTAATATTTATTTAATATTAAATTATAATTATATATTTATAATCACATCTATTTGTAATTATATTTTTTTAGTAGATGTGGGTTGAAAAATCTATAATTAAAAAAATTTAAAATCATTACAAATGAGTAGGATTTGACTAAATTTTAAATTTATTTGACTAAAAATCAAACTTATTAAATTTTAAATCACTTGAGTTTTGATTACTAAATCAAAAAGTTGAAAAATTAATGAATGAGGTGCATATAACTAAAAAATTCTACCCTAAAGCCTTTTGTATAAAATTTTTCAATGATTTTTAGATTTTTTTAAAGATTTTCTAGAAACCTTTTACTAAATTATTTATTTATTTTTTTTTTTAATTTTTTAATAATTAAAATTAATAAAAGAATAATAAAAGAATTCAAAAAATTCACTAAAAATATAAAAATAATTTTTTGATTAAAACCTAAATCAATTCAAATGATTACTTTTTAAAAAACCAAAACTGATAAAATTTATTTTTTTAATTTGATTAATAGTTATTAAAATTAAAAACCCAAAATTTTAGTTAACTAATAATTCAGTTCTAGTTACAAGCAAAATCGATCCATACCCAGCCCTACCTTCTAAACCTAACTGTGGTAAGTTTAAATTTAACGTCTACCTTTTTCTAAGGTTTTTTTTAGCTTGTGTCACAATCGCGCAAGTTAAGAACTTTTTTTATCATAAATTATAAACATATATATATATAAGGGTTGACATTAATGTAGTATAGGTATAAGTTAATTAACTTAATGAGACATTTTATAAATTAAAAGTTAAGTTTTCTTTTTTCCATAAAAATTTATAACAAAAATGTATATTTATTATACCTTAATATATGTTTTAAGGATACAAATTAAAAAAATCATTTTTTAAGATGTTATTTACAATAGCACTTAGATTTTTTTTTAACTTTATTTTTATTTTAACAAATTTTTTAACTTGTATCCTTAAGTTATAATTATTACACTTTTGTTCATTAATTTATATAAAAAAATAAGATTAATTTAAATTTTATAAATTATCTAATTAAATTATTTTATACAAAATTAGTATCGAAAATAAAATCTATTTTTATACAATATTTTTTATA